GAAAAATACAAAGACGAGTTTGAGAAAATCGTGGCTGATAATGATTTAACACCTGAACTCTACAGACTGATGAGGAAGAAAACCATCAAGACGCTCTGACCAAAGTTTTGGATGTCGTTAGAAGTACTGACAATCCCTTGAAAAACCTGCCTGAAGATGAGGTAGAGGAGTGGCTTTTAATCGACGAGAATGAGCCTGTTGAACAAGAACTAACCGATGAGGACATTATCAACATTGTAGTAAACCCTCAGCCTACTCAAATCTTGAAGAAAATGACTCAGATGCCGAAACGGAAGAAAAAGGAAAAATCAGCTAGCTGGGCAGAAGCTGCAGAATCACTAAATAAGTTTATCTCTTTTTGCCGAGGCTAGTACTCTAGCTACAGTGCTTCAGAAATTATTGATTTCCATATCATTAGAAATAAACTTTTTATACTAAACGCCAAAAGTCAAGAAACAAAAAGACATTCGTGACTTTTTAAATCTAAGTGAAATATGTTTTACAGTACGTGTACAATACATTATATGAAATGTAAAATAAACTTTGTTGTATGTATTTGCATACTGTATTTTTAGTTTAATTATTAACCTAATTGTTCTTATAATTACCGCCCGATAGACCGGAATTTTCGGTAGTCCGGCACCGAGCCGGTCCCGAACGTGCCGGATTATCGGACTTCTACTGTACTAGACCTGCTGGTTTCAAAGAAAATTTGCACGCATTGCGCATTTCGAGGAATTCTTGTCTCTCAGCCTTGAAGTGCTAAACTATTTTGTCAAACTAAATCTAAATGGTATTTGTCTTTTTTTAATGTTAAGAAATTGAAAAATTTTGAATAAAGGTCTCGTACTTTTCTGGATCTTTTAAAAATGTGTTCTGGTTAAAAATGATATAAGAATATCTTCACATTGATAGTATGTGTGTGTGATTATGGCAAAGCCGCGAGGGCTATCTGCCTAAGAGGAGATGCCTTCGTGGAGGACTTTCTAAGGGAAACTGGCTCGTATACACATTACACATGGGGAAATCCACGAGAACGCCCATGCAGCCAGCCCTTCGCGGGATTCGAACCTCGGACCGAACTACCAGTGTTCAGCGATTTTACCACTCGGCCGCTGGTGGGCCTTCACATTGATAGAAAAGTTTTACTATGAGGAATGTTTCAAATATCTCATAATTAAATAATTTCGGATCTTCCATGTTCACTTGATTTACAAGATTTCCACTTCATGGATTTGCAACATATTACTCATTATGAAGTCTAAATATGATTTAATACTACTGTAAATTAAAGGCTATAGCCGTTTTAGGAGTCTTCTAATATACTTGATTTATAACCTTCAACAAATAGAGTTTAGCTTATAAGAAGAAGACGTAACTGATTTTCAAAATCTAAACTTTTCTTCCAGGTTTATTGTTTGCTTTCCTTTTTGACATTTTGAAAACTAATTAATCGGACTTTCAAATTGTGTAGGAATAGCTTTCTAATACAGATATCATCTGAGCTAAATTCCATTCAGTTGAGCAGGTAAGTAATTTATTGTGACAGCTTTTCCAGGGTTGTCTGCTTTCCAAGGTAGACAGCCCCGGGGGACTTTGCGGAGGACATCATAAGGCTCCTGTTTGTGATGTACTTGGTGAAGCAACCATGCGCCGAGCCCGTTCCGCCACCAGGTATTCAACCTAACACAAAGTTTTCACCACTCTGTAATTTTATTCATTTGACCGCTTGGAAGTTGGCAGAGGTTTAAATGAATATTATATGCACGCATGCACACAATTTCGAGCATGGAAGTACTCAGACGGCCAACGTCCTAAAAATCGTCGGTAAACTGTGTTGCAAAAGGTATAAAATTAAAATAAAATAAATAGAAAATGACGAATACAAAAATTCCATGTAACATTATATTATACTGCTGCCATAAATAGAAGCTGTAAAATTGTATATTGAAGATCTTTTCTAAAGACTGAATTACAGATTGTTCATAGAGAAAAACGTCCTAGAAGGGAAAACAATGCGTAAAATTAGATAAACTAAGGAATGTAGGAAAGTGCTTGAAAAATTAAATAAATATAAAAGAAAAAAGTAAACAAAAAATCTGAAAGTTTTCAGATTTTATATTACGCCCAAAGGGTTTTTTAACGTATTGTGTGTTACCTTTATCTATTAAATATCATATTCTTCGCACTTAAATCCTAAAATTCAATTCAACAGCAATACCGCAAAATAGTTTAAAAAGAACATTTCTTCAGAATTTCCGAAATAAAGTCTCGCGCGCGAGAGATGAAATTGCTTTTTTTCATACAGTGTTGCCATTGCTTGCTTTGAAATCGTTGAGTTTGTTAATCAAAAACTAGTTAAAGTTTTACAAAATGCGAAATAGATATTAAAACAAATTCCAAATTATGGCTTTCAAATGCCGATATTTGAGGGAAGGATTACGTTATTCAAAATTAAATTGCTCTAGGTAGAGTTGTTTTTTTCAAGTGCGAGAAACATACATACATTCATGCAGATTCTTTATTAAATTTCGTTAAATATAATGCAATACTGTAACATTTGGTGGCGACAATTTGAAAATTGATATGCCATTTATTGTGATTCGACGCAAAATCCCAAAACAACCCTCCCAGCGTTACAGGTTTAGCCCTGAAATTTCAAAGTTCCTCAAAAGGGCATGAATAAGTGGTATTTTCTTGATTTTAATTAAAAAATGACTCTCTCATTTTGTACCTTGATTCCTTTTCTTCCGATATACATCCAAACCGAAATGAGATACATTAAAATCTAGCAGAAATTTTCATGTATAATGAATATAGAAGGAAGCCTTTATACGAAATTTTCCGACCGTAACGTTGAGGGGAAGATCTTCTGGGCTAATCCCTTTCGGCTAAAAATATATGTCAAAAATTTTATAGCTATTCAGAGTAAATTTTATATTTCTTTAGTTTTAAAGCGTCGATTCTAATATTCTAGCGTTTTTTATCATCCTATAATTTTACAGTATTATCCTTAAGTATTTAATCCACTCAAAGTGCTAGTACCAAATTTACTCCAGTTAAAGAGATTTGGAAATTTATTTCGCTTTCATATATTTGATATAGTAAATAACAATGAGATATATAACATCAAGTGTGAAAACAATGAAACTGCAGAATGAATTACCCAATTCTCTTACAAAATCTAAAATATCGTATATGAACCACTTTATAAATAAATACGTTATGGCACAAATCGAAATAAAAATAAAAAAAAGATCAGTCATAAGTCTCTTTCTTTATTTTTTATTCCAATTTAATGGAACTAGCGCCTCCAACTTGGGCGGATCGTAACAATCATCATCAGCTATATGATAATCATTATTTACTAGATCATCATCATCTCATAAGATTTCGAGAGACTCCCATAAATCCCTCCATCTCTGTCATTTGAGAATTTCTTTTTTTTTCTGAATAAGATGACGTCAGACATCCTAGGAATGTTATAATTTCATAAAAAAGTCTGATTTTGTCTTTGTTTGATTTTTTACAATTTGCGTTGAAATGTGTCAAGAACAGATTTTTTAAGAATTTTAAATCTTGCATTACTTTGAAGAATAAAATCTAAATAAAATAAACCTAACGGGTAATCACAAAAATGTTTTAATAATCAGAACAAAGGGAACACACTTTTCCCTGGTAAGAACGTAATTTATTCTTTAAATTGAAAATTCTTTAAACGTTAGGTTTGAATCATAAACTTGAATTCTTATATCAATGATAGCATTTTATTAATTTCGTAATCTAATTTTTGTGAAAATACACATAAAAACCTTTTTTAAATAGTCATGTGGTATCAAATGATGATGCATCTTTAAATATCGTTTTTTAGCATTCCATTTAATCATGTTATTAAACAATCACTTAAAGGCAGATATCAAATTTTCCAATTCATTTGATCTAATGGTAGGAGTAATCAGATTTTCGTATTGCGTAGATGACTGTTAAATAAATTTCATACATTAAATTACCCGAGAATACATTGAATGAATACAGCAATATATTTTCATAATTAAAGTAATATTTTCTTAGGAGATACTTTGTTATCTTCAGTGTGTAAATCTAGAAATTCATGAAATTTTACTACAAACGTTGACGGCCTTTAAATTCTTGAAAAAAAAAAAATAATTTGTAGTTGGGGAAGAATCTGCACTTATTGTCCGAAATTAATTCTGTTGTGTTCCAAAATAAATATTGACAGAGAATTTTAGGAGTGAGGTGATTAAGAATGATGAAGGAGTGAGGTGATTAATTTAGATAGAGTTTCAGTTCATAGCCTATTCATTCACTTCAGCGTACGAATTCATGTATATAACTTATGTAAATAATGACATGTGCATTTACGTTCATACATGTAAACTTACGTAAACGTCCAACACCTTATGTAAACATTTATAATGGATACAACTGTTAATAACATAGTAAAATTACTTACAAATAAATATCCGAAATACTTTGGTAATTTGTTTTCCTCCAAATGCATAAATATATTGACACGAAATTCTAAATTACTCTTTACGGATTCCTAGACCTCCACGGAACACCACTGATAAGTAATGTTCTAATTAACAGAAATTTTAATGTGAATTTTGAGTGCGTACTATTTGTAACATTCATTTGCTTGATTTACGATTGATTATTTTGCGTTTGTCTCACTCAAAGTTTCTTTTCTATTCACAAACTCAAACACAACTTTTCTCCTGATTTTTTTCTGTTTATCTCCTATTCAATCCGATCTCACGCAGAAATTAAAATCATCCTCTCATACGTTCGAGTTCACCTACTTTTTTCTCCCCCTTTTCCCTTCCCTCCTCAACGTTGTGCTCTGGCCCATTCACTTTCACCCTCTTTCTTCGTGCGACGCCTACAATGCAAAACGGTGCAACAAAGAACAAAATCTAAACAGATAAAAAAAAAAAGCAAAAGCGAACGCAAGGCAAATGAAGGGTCGGCTGAAGAAAAAAAAAAAATGGGAAAAGATGCAGTTACAATGTGATGCTACCTTCTCGTAGCGGACCTGACGTCATGAGGATGATGAAGTATATATAAAGGGATGCCTCGGACCGTGGTCAGACATCATCCCATCCTCTTCTCATCAGTGGTCATCCCAGGTACCTCCAGAACTTCAGAGTGATTTAAAACTTCAGGAAAGCAAGCCAAGATGCATTTTGTTCAGGTGAGAATTTCCCATCTTGTTGGTATTTATACAGTAATAGTACAAATGAGTAGTTAAGGCACTTACTAATAGCCTTAGTTAAAATAAGCTAATAATTAGCATTTTTAAACAAATATTTGATTAGCTTTCTGGAGAAAAATCAAGTATTCGCTTTGGTTTTAAGATAGAGAAAAGCCTCTCTTTTACACAGGATTTTACATTTTATGTATATATATTATAGTAGTTTATGAACAGGAAAATTCACTAAGCATAATTCCATAGCCGTCTCTGACAATGCATTATTTATTCTTTAATATTTTAAGGCATAAAAAATCCTCTCTTTTGAATACGCGTTTATTCGTGCATTCGTAGATATATTATGGAGATTTACGTCTATAACAATTCACCGTCTGTATTGCTGTTTCTGTGGTATATGTAACTAACAGGAATTTACAGACAGAAGATATTTAACATTAAAATAATCAATACATTCTTAAAAGAAGCACTAATAGGCAAATTCAGAACAAAAATCACAGGAGAGGAATTTTTATGCGAAATGGAATTTAATAAGATAGAACATAAATTTTTAAAATAAAACAATATGTTTTCTGCAAGCAAAAAAAAAAATTTTAAATGTATCTTAGATGTTAAAAACGAAATGTACCTTCAAAATTTAAAAGTATCTTATATCTGAAAAACTATTTAACTAAAAACACGATTAATATAAAAAAACCTTTATCCAGAATTATGAAGTAATAATAACTTAAAATATTAATTATAGAAATATATTTGCAGTTGAGGAAAATTATCATGAAATTCAGAATTGTATTGCCGTAATTTCCAAGGGTTTTCCCTCAAATTATTCTGTAAACTTACTAAGAAAAGGCTACTGAATTTTAGCTTAGGATTTCCTGTATTTAACTGCTATTTAAGCAGCCTATTTGGTGGCCCTGAAAGCAGGAAAATATGTTTTTTCCATGTAAATAAGGAATTATTTCTAGAATATTTTCTAGTTCCATTTTTTTTAAATATTCAGATGATTTTCAGAAATAGATTATTATTACAGTTAGGAGTCATTATTAAAGGTACAAAGAGGGAATGATAAAAGTTCTAAGATACAAATGATTGTGTATTATACTAAATTTAAATTAAGAAAGGCTGTAACGTGCACCACTTTCGTATATACTTGAAAATATGAGAAAATGAAACTAACGGAAGAATTGGGAATTGAGGAAGGCCTGAGTTGATTCTAATATTTTTAAATCGCGAATGCTATCTTTTATTATCAGTTTATTATCAGTCAAGTTTTCAGACTGCGATTATTGTAATTCTCGTTTTTATTTCATACATATTCGCTTTACTGTAGAAAACTGATACAGCAAATGCTAAGACCGTTTGAGCAACCAACTTCAAAAGTTAGGCTAACACTCAGATAAGTTAAGTTATTTTAATACTGCACAATATTTGAAGACTGTCTGCTTCAGAGGAGGATTTTTCTAAGGAAAGCCGACTCGTATTAAAGCCACACGTAGACAAAAATTAAGAAAGCACCCATGCGGTCAGCCTACTCCGCTAGAGTTTGATTGTGAGTCTAAGTACTAATGTTCAGGGTCTAGATTCTGAATGAAAACTTTCTGGTGGGTATATAAAAATTTCAGTGATTTGTAAAAATATAGATTGTATATTAAGATTGTAGAGTTCATCAGGTTCACTTCTGTGTGAAAACTGGGATAGTAGTAACTGCACAAGAGAAGGGTTAAAAGTACCCTTTATTAACTTTTTAAAATTTACAATGCGTCAACTTGACCTTAACAAACTGCGCCTCTGCTTGGGCGGCAACTGAAAATCAGATAACGAAACTAAAAGTTTGAAGATATTAATAAGTGATGAAACTACAAGGCTCAGCGAGATACCGTTTCTTAAGCCCCTTCGAAACTAGTGGCAGCAAGTAAATACAATTAAGCCACGTGAACCAACGATAAGCAAACGTTTTAAACAGCAGAGGTGGCGGCTGTATTCTAACTCTTCTCTTTCCTACCGAAACTCGGTTTTTAAACTATTTCTTCAAAGTGGAAATTTGCATTCCTTCACGCGAGCTACAAAATTTAAATATTCTGGCACTGACAATTAGGGGAATGAAGGCCTTATAGGAAAGTTTCAAATTAAACTTTAACTTGTTAAAATAAATATAAATCTCTACAAGATAATGTGAGATTTTCAATCTCAGAATAGAGATTCCAAACTATTAAAAGAAAAAAAAAATGTTGCTGAAATGTCCGCAGCAAAAGAGACAAATGGTTACATTAATTAAATCAGAAAATTTACATAAATCTTGAATATTTGTTATATTTCTCGAATGCACATTTTACTATAGTTGCATTAAAATTTGCAGAATAAAAATGCAGCTAATATTTTAATAACTATGAATTTGAAATATTAATATATAAATTAAAGTTTCATATTCTGGAACAAATATAGAAAGGTGGACTGTTCTTTCATTATCGTTTAAATGATTAATTTAAAAATATTATGTTATTGAAATTCACAAACCTTGTATAAATTTGAATAAAAAAATTTTACAAACAAGTCATCATTTGCAGAGTCAGATTTTAAGACTTTAGGATAAAATTACCATTTTAAAGATCTTTAGATAATACTCGCTCAAAAATTATTACATAAATCGACATTTAAAATTAGAAATATAAGACAAAGTTTGAAAATAACTAATTAAAACTGATCAAATCTTATCTAATGCCTGACATACTAACTGCCAGCTCTAGTAATTTCACCTTCTACCGTCGGACCTCTCATAAATAAAAACTGCGATTAACTCTTCACAAATTCTTCCGACCCATTTAAATCGACCCATCTATTCTGAATTGTGCTAGATTACAAGTTCTACCCAAAATTCATAAAAGTGTATTCCCTTCCTTCCTATTGTATCAAATTTAGGCTCTGCGTGTTACTTATTAGTTAAATATTTAGTTTTTAGATTTCCCACTTCGTTTGTTACTAACGCTTATACCATTAAATACAGTTTCTTAAAAAAGTAAAAAATATTTCCCCTAGAAATCCCATCACAGTTTCTTTTCATGTAAAATCATTATTCACAAAAGTTCCAGGGAAAGGCGAACTTAAATGTCTAGAAAGGATACTTCGAGAATTTTACCTCTCCTGTATCGAAATTGATGAATTAATTTCCCTTACCCCGCATGAAACAAACACATTTTGCCTTCCAAAATAAGTATTACAACCAAACTGAGAGATAATCCATGTGAAGCCCTCTAGTCCTATTTTTGCTGATACATATATGCATTACTACGAATCAAAATTATTTTTGAAAATTTTATTTTAAAATAATTAAATTTTAAACTTTTCTGTGGGGTTCCGATACGTTGAAAATACACTTATTCTGATGGTAATAAAGATGATTTAAATTACGTTTTTTCAATAATGAATGCCACTGGTACTGTTGTTCATTTTTGAACTTGAATCATACAATTTTTTTCCGTTCCTCGATATCTTGGTCTACACGCAATATAGCCAACTCCACTACTACCGTTTACCATAAGGGCCTTCATCTGTGTTACCACACTTCACATCATGCCATTTGATAAAACAGAGGTTAGCTCCATTTTATTCCATCTCTTTGCGAGCACTTCAAGCTTAATCTTCCAAATCGGCTCTTGATCAAGAACTAAATTGCATTACAGTAGTTGCTTCTGACAGCGGCTTTTCGCCTAACATTTTTGACCAAGCGGTTATAAAATTCTGATCTCAACATGCAAAAGAGCACCGTCTCGTTTTAGGAGATTATAAGAATTGTGTTGCCATTCCTATCTTTGCATAGCTCAGTTATAAAATTGGAACTATTTTACAGAAATTCAACTTACGGGTCATTTTCTCTTCTGTCGATAAATTTCGCAGTTCCACAATTAAGGATATTAACCATTGAGGATATGAACTCCTGGGTTCAATACAAGATTTCTTTGAAATATGGTTTAATTTACATTAGTCAAACTAAGATAGTCTTAAAATTTCGAGCTAAGGAACATGATGCACATGTTCTTTAGCTCGAACATGAAAAGAAACACATAAACTCTACTGCCCAACGTTGTTGGGGAAAAAATTCAATTTAAAGTTTTTTCAGTCAAAAATATTCAAGAACACATCTTCTGTTGGCGAATTAGATTTTCTAGAGGCAATTCGCATTCATAAAATCTTTCAGTTCTAGTTAATGACCCCAATTCCAGTCCGTCTTTACCCTCAGCTTTTAATAGGATCATTTCGAAGTTTTAAAATTTTTCATCACGAAATGGCGCCAGTTGCTTTACTCTTTCTTCTCATTCTTATCACCTTATGTTGTTTATTTATCCGTTCAATCTACTTAATTTCATTATTTAATCTTATCATTTATAGCTGCTTTATTCATATTTCATGAGTCTTAGGAGTCTTAAAATTGTGCTACATTAATACTTATAATAATGGAAAATATCATCATAAGCAAACTGAAATTTTTCGGCTGATATGTAATCTAATTTAATGGCTCACGTAAGAGGAACAGTAAACATTAACAAGAAAATGCCAAAATCATACTTTGTCATGCAAATGTTTATACTTTTTTGTTTGAAATGGAAAATGCTCTGTAGCTTGAGATGGAAATAATGTCTAAAGACGTGGAAATGTTATGCTAACAATCAAAGAAAAATGTGAATTAATTTGGAATAATGTACGGAGGGAAATAGTTTACATTTATTCGAATTTTCATTGGTTTATCTGAGTATAGCAAAGCCCGTTAAGATCATTTATTTAAGGACAGCGATTTCTTCGTGGAAGACTTCCTAAGCGAAACACTAGCTCGTAATTGTATCCGCTTGGCCGCTGATGGGCCATTCGATTTTGAAGAAGCTCAGGTTAGCAATTTGTTATATAGTCATCAGAGGATAAATTTGAAGTACAGAGAGTATCTGTTTATTTATTTAGAAGATTTCTGAGAAGGAAATACTAGTTGAAATTCACTATGCAGAAAGAGATAAAAACGAGGATTTTGAGATGGGTATGTATTAGATAAAAAAAAAACCTTGCGAAATCTAGATATAGCACTCCTTTATCTACATTCAATACAGTGAGAATTATCCTTAAATCACGGGGAAATGGTTTAAATTTTAATGGCAAACATTAGGAATGAAAAATAATTTTAAGACTAATACAAAAATAGGTTTTAGTTTATGAATTTCCCTGGCCGTACTGTAAGGAAATTACATTCATACTTTGAGTGAAAATATTCCATAATACTCAATAACCAATGGGAACCGTCAACAGTTTCTCTTCGTAAGCTACAGAGATTCCTTTAACTTTTACCGTTTAGAGAACAGGCAATATTCTTCTTTTAACGTATGTAAGATATCATTTTGCAGACTTCATGTCACGCTTGAGTACCTCTGTGAGGTATTTCCCGACGTATAACAGGTAATCTGACATCCGATGAGGCGGCGGTTAAACTATCTAAGCTGGCGATCTGCACATGCTTCTCCAAGCGTGACTTATGGAGAAAACGAAAGTGAAGGTCATGGCATCAAATATTTGATAGCGAAGGTCTTTTTTATTTTGCGGAATTCAAAAACTTTTCGTCCTCATATAAGGGAGAAAACTGTCTTATCGCGCATACCCACATACAGAAATATATTCTCTTTTCATTTCTGTGAGATGGTGTAAAGCATAACCATCGCTTTGATTGATGCAGGCATGAAATCCCATTTATTAAGACTAAATAATTTGATATTATCTAGTTAAGCATAGGTCTCTAAGCTCTTTGTTCTAAGTAATTCGTCAGCTAGCTATTCTAAAGCTGTCATTCAGTTTCCTTCTTGTAGTCTAGAATTGTTTTAAGAACTGCAAATGAAATCGATCTGAGGAAGTTATCTGTTTCTATTATTCATTGTGTAAAATACTGAGGCTTTCCCTTTTTGATATACAATGCGACTAAAACAATTTCCTGTATCACACATCAATGACAATCATTTTATATGTCTGAAGATATCTACGAAGATACTTATTCCAAAACGGAAATCCTTTAAAAATAAGATGTTTTGATTCGAAGGGCACTTAATGTGGCAATAGGTTTCAAAATTCCTACTTTTGTTGAGATGAATGCTTTTTTCTTTACTTCTTTGCAGACTACTTTAGAAAATGAACATAAGTAATGCAATGAATGTAACAGAGGAATAAAGAAAAACACCAGAATTTATTCACTGTAAAAGGATTCTGTTATTTTTAATTATTTAACAAAAGTTTTTTCAAGCAATTCCGATAATAAATCAGGAACATTATTGATACTTAATCATCAAATTAACGAATAAATGATCTAACAAATAAAGAGTCATAAATATAAGACAATCCGAAAATTTTATTGTTTGTAAATTTAGGCAACTAACAAATGTAGGAAATATTGATACGTATTTTAAAAAAAATCGCGTATACCCTATCCGTACTTGGTAAAATTGTGACGCATTATGAGTTGAGATAAAAATGTATTTATTCATTTTTCATCAATAAATCGAACAAAATTGATCTTTATATTTAGTATCAGCATAACAATCTCGTATTTAAATTTTATTTACAGAATACTTCAAAGAGTAAAGATCTCAAATCTGCTTTTTTTAATTTCTGTTTTTCAGGTGACAGTTGTGATTGTAGGTCTTGTAAGTTATGTCTGTGCAATAGGTTATGGTGGCGGAGCAGGTAGTTACGGAGTTGGCGGAGGCCGAGGCGCCGGTGGTTTCGGCGGCGGAGCTAGAGGAGGCTTCGGCGGTGGATACGGCGGTGGGGCTGGAGGCGGATACGGCGGTGGAGCAGGAGGCGGATACGGTGGAGGAGCTGGAGGAGGAAACGTAAGTGTTTTAATATTTTATTTTCTATTTCTGTAGAAAATGAAACGAAAGTGTTTCGCACATGAGCTTTGCTGGGTTATTTGCTTTTTATGAGAAAATAATACTTAATTGTAACGGACAACACACTTAATTGATAAATTTTTTTTTGAATTTAGAGATTTTAGCTAATAATTACTGAAATGGAACTCTAGATCAATGAAGATCACAGCGAAGCAATTGTATATTTTTATAAACATAGATTATCTGAAAATAGAACTATGAACTCATGCTCTTGCTACTTTATTGCATTTGCTTTTTCAGTACCCTCCTCAGCCTTACAATTTCGACTATCAGGCACGTGATGAGCAGGGCAATGTCCATTACCGAAATGAACAGGGAGACCAAAGTGGAGCTGTAAGAGGTTCTTATGGCTATACAGATAACCAAGGACTGTACAGAGTCGTCGAATATGTTGCCGATGCTGGTGGATTCAGAGCCAACATCCGAACCAACGAACCAGGAACTGACGGCAAAGAAAGTCCAGCTGATGTCCAGCTAGTAGCTGAGCAACCACCTGCTGGTATCCAAGATCGATACACTAGAGTTGGAGGCGGTGGATATGGTGCAGGAGGTAAGACTTTTTTTGCCTCTTTCTATTACATATTAGAAACTTAAGTATTTATTTCTTTACCTTTAGAAATATTTCGCTCGTCTTAGGCCATTTTTTTAATTAGCATAAGTTAAGCTACCATGTGCGAGAGAGGAGATTAAATACAAACTCTTAACTAGGAATTTTGTAGTTCTTTGAAAGCTCTAAAACAGGTTCTTTACCACGGAATTCTACGTATTTTAAACTGTATTACATAAAGTAATTAAATCGCTATAAGAATAAAATTACATTTGTAAACTTAAGATAGAGAAAGACTGTCTAGAATTTATCGAATTAAACAATAAAAGGAATGCAATAACTGAAAATTGATGTGCAGCCAGTTAGAGATCAGACCAATAAAAATATATTAGACTTAATTTATTCGTCTTTCTCTGGAATTCCAGGAAAATTTCTTTCTCTTTTTTTCTTTAGCATAAGGGGGCTTATTTAATTAATTTTAATTTTTATCTAATAACAACATCAAAGTGGGTTTTTGATATTCTTAGGATCATTAAAACAATACATTTTTTAGTAATCTTAGGTTAAATATATCCGCACTGAAACCTGCAAGGTATTTTCTTTGTTAAATTTATTCTGATGTCAGAGCTTTTATTGCCGTATAATAACTGACTAACGAAAGATATTTAGAGAATTTATATTATATCAAATTCTCTAATTTTATGAATTTCAGAATTATAACAGCGTTATGGTGAGTTACTGAATATCAAAGTAATGGTTATAAAATTTTGAAATTTTAAATAATAACTAAAAAATTTTAAACTTCAAAATATTAAAAAATTTTGTAACATTTTAATTATTATTATTTTTTGTAATATTTTAATCATTATTATTTTTTGTAATATTTTCTAGTTTTGTTAACAACTTAAGGAATAATAATAATTATAATTATTATTATTCTATAATTAATGCTATAATTATTGAAGTGAAATAATGACCAGTAGTAATAACGAGTTTGAAGAAATTACTATTGGTTCCCTTCCCAGTTTCCTCATATGGCCTTAGTTTTACACAAAAATATTACATTCTTTGACATCTTTCAGGTGGTTATGGAGGAGCTGGTGGTTATGGTGGTGCTGGAGCTGGTGGTTATGGCGCTGGTGCTGGAGCCGGTAGAGGCGTTGGAGCTATCGGAGGTGCTGGTGGATTCCGAGGAGGAGCCGGAGGTTTTGGTAGCCACGGCGGAGCTGGAGGCTTTGGAGGCAGTGGATTCCATGGCGGAGCCGGTGTTCGAAGTGGCAAAAGTGGTTATTAAATCTACATTTTACAATGTTGAGTAGCATTTGATTGTTGTTCTTGTTCCATTGATATTTATTGTTCAAGCGTTTTTGGCAGCATTTGAACAAGCTTTTGAATATTCCAAGCTAGTTTTATAAAACTTAATTGTAATCGTAATGTGGAAAAGTGCCAGTTATTAAGGATATGTATTACTTATATAGACTGTTAATTAAATTGAATTTAACATTTCAAATAGTGTTTTACAAAAAGACTTGGAATAAAAAGCTTGGTTCTTAAGGCTATGGAAGCTTTAAATATCTCTCGTCCTTTCATTTTGCGTGGAAGAGCTGTTTTTGCGTTCGTTGTTATGTTTTCGTGATGCTCAATGCCAACGCACCAAAGGGCTTCGATGCTGTTGACTGTAAACCTACAAAATAACTTTTAATTAACAGCATTAACATTTCATTAAAAATGGGGAAAAAACTAAATTTCTATTAAAGAAAATATATTTGTAAACGTAAAATTTATAATAAAACTAATATAGCTCTTGCTTATATAATAACTTTAATTGCATATTGCGGAGTGATAAAGCTCTTCTGTATTTTTAATAAATAAATATCTGAAGAGAGTTTAATGTTGTCGACAGCGCAGAGTCACTAAACCAAGAAAAGGGTTTGCAGTGCAGCAGCATCCTTTTAGTTTATGGTGTAAATGATGCATATTTTAATAACCATATTTGTTCATTATCACATCTTTGCCACAGTACGACAAGTGAATAATTTTGAAATGGGCATTATGTGTTGATAGGAGATATCTGCGATTTAACCTATTCAACTGAGCCGTTAAGATATTTGTATATTAAGATGTGGATTGAACATTCGTTTTTTTCATGCAAATCTTATATGTGTAATATTTAGGGGAAGAAGTCTTCACTATGTAACGTGACTGAAACTCATGCATATGTATGTACATTTGGGTGTTTCATGTATTATTTTAAATAAAATGCATATTTAAAATGTAAGAGAGTGTTTTGTTTCCGTATTTTTCTAACTAACGTATACAGAGAATAGGCATATGAGTCTCTATAAATATACAATGTGACATGTAGAGACGCTTCTTCAATGTAAAAAACAAAACAGAAATCAATACTACATCTAGAAATATTGCACGTTGTTCAGGATAATGTACCAAATATGAAATAATTATTACTTCTTGGAAAAAAATGATACCTTTCTGAAGCAGGACAGAAATCCTTACTGCCTTGTTTAAATGCAATTTAATTGTGGTTATATGTAGCCTGTGTTAATAATTTGTACACTATTATGTGTGAAACAAATATAATAACTGTAATAATCGAACGATTTTAATGACGTATTTAAATCAGAAAACAGAAATACTTCCACTGCTTTAAATTCGCATCAATAAACGACATTCTGACATTAGCAAACTTTGCACAGAGTTATTCTTTACCACATCATGTTTTTCGAAAAACTTTCCTCAAAGTTTAGTTTTTGAATGTCATAACTTTTGCATCATCCGATCAGCAAATTTATACTCTGATTTAAGAAGCTAGAAAATATGAATTCATTCTGAAACTATAAAGGCTTCATGTGAACATTGAATTTGACGTCTGACACTAAAAATCTCTTCACAACGTCGAAATCTGTGTACAAAGCATTAATGAAAGTGAGCGTCCAATATTAAAAGAAATCTAGACTCGAAAAATTTTACACAATTTTTAGAATAGTTATTCATTTCTCAATATTTTCTCCAGTACTATGCTATATAATATTACCAAATTAGAGAATTTAATTAGATTGGACCAACAAAAGGTATACACTGCTACCGAAAGTGATTCTTGTCGTAAAATTATAAATCAGTTCAGAAGACTTTTAAATTCTTAATTCTGGAAAAGGTGAACTTTACTTTAATCATAATCAAATTAAATCTGACTCATAATTTCTATACATTATACGCAAGTTTGTATAATTAATACAACATTGTGCTTGTTATGAATAAAATTATTTAGTATTATGTCTTTCATCGTTTCAAAATTTCAGAGCAATTTATGCTAATGAATGTTGAAGCAAAAATATTATACTCCGTTAGTGATGGGCATATTTCATAAATAAATTATTTTACGCGATTTTTTGTCACATGAAGGAGGAAGGAATCGAATTTATGTAATTTTTTGCTATACATAAAGAGTCAGAAGAATCTTGAACAGAATTCTTTACATATATATCAAAGTATTTTTGTTTTAATAATAAACTGCTGAATATGATAAGAAATGTAATAATACATACAATATTTAACTTAGTTGAATAACTTTACATATAAAATAATACTTAAGAATAACTGAAATTTGATTTTAACTGTTACAATTTTGGATAATATTTTTTCTAGATTTCAATAAATAAATTTTAATTTTTAGCTGTCTTAGTTTGAACAGAATTTTTTAAAAAATTAATAACTCATTTATATTCAAAATGCTAAATTCATTCGTACTCAACTATTACATGTCTTGGCAACTATTACATTGATCAAGTCTCAGGATGATAAATTCTTTAATTTCATTAGGAAAACATTCAAGGTTTTTTTGTATAGATTCAGTTTAAATTTTAAAGGAGTAATAGAAATGAATAGAACATTATTTTCAAGCATTAAAGCTAAAATTCGCGTAATTTACATTCATTATTTAAAATTTTTTAACATAATTTTAATATTATTGTAAAACAAACGCTTTGTGAATGATTTATTTAAAATTCGCACGTGCAAGAAATCTCTTGAAAAGATTTTTCAGAAATTATAATGATTTTTACAGACATCTGGCAATAATACAAATTTCATTTTATTTTAGAATTCAGAAACAAATTTCTACCATTTCTACCAGACAATTTTAACCATTTCGCTTCTTAAGAATTCGCGTTACTTGAGGCCGAGCAGCTGAATTCTGGCAGTACGACACGGATTCGAACTCGGGCGAAAGGGTTGGATACATACTTTCTTATCAATGCTTTTTCCATGAGTAATGTGAATATGAGACAATTTCGCTCAGAAAGTTCTCCACAAGGGCATAGTTAACATCAAGCAGATAATCGTCCTGTACTCTGACATAAACAAATACCTTCGTAATAATTTATGGTTTCCAAAATGGCTGCCATAACACTATGACGATTTTTTCTTGGAAGACTGAAAGAGAGAGGATTATTTCTATGGGCGTTTAATTAATCCAAACATTTACCCTTGCAAAACGTTGTCTAAATAATGTTTTTATTCAGTCTGGCAGAAGGCCAAGACATTATGTAAAATTATAGTACATTGATAAATAATAAAATTGTTAGCCGCCTAGGCTGGGAAAGTGGGTAGATACGCTGACGCCATACCGTACTCAAATGTCGTAGAAGGCATGGCTGTTTGTAATTGTATAGTGCCTGTGCTGTATGGAGGGCAATCAAAATATTCGGCGAGCCAAAAGTCCTCTCGAGCAGCTGGTGGTAGGGGAAGAGAGATGGGAGACCCTTGGATACTATCCTCTCGGATGCTGTCCTTCAGAATTGGGAAGGAACTGAGCATGCGTTGGACTGCCAACTCTATGGCGCTCAAGGCTGTGGCGAACGACAGACGCAGTCTTGTACTCTTTGCTGCGATTATAGCTCGAGAGCTTGTTCTGGTTGCATCAGACAAATGAGATCAGGAATAACAATAACTACTAGTGTAACCTTATTTTATAAGAACTTCTTATGATAAATCTAACATTACATATATTCCGACTAAATACTCCAAACTCTTATATCATGATGGGCAGAATTATGTATGCTGTGAGCCCTTTGGAAAACTACTTACCTACCAAAATTTCAGATGATTTCGTCTTTTGTGGATGTAGTTGACTTTGACAAATGACGTGTAATACCAATATTTGCTTATGGTTTAAAAAATAGTTAGTTTCAAATAGTTAGTTAGTTCATTTTTGCCCTCGCCAAACACCCTAAAATAACGGCGTCATGTAATATCAGAAGTGCACCATTAGTTATAGTTATTGAAATCAATAGCGCAAAATGAGGTTATGTATCAAATCTAACATGAAATATATTGCTCAGTGCCGAAATTGTAACGCCAAGGGAACGCTGCAATTTCAACAAGCAAAACACAATTTCACGAATTAACAAGAAGACTAAGCAGGTTGGGGGAAGGGATTGTAGAGATAAATGTAAATGATGAAATTTTTTAAGTGCTTAGATTAAGTCTGGCCGATTGATGATGTGATACCTCAAGTTCATCGACGTATCACTTATCATCGGTACTGGAGAAGAACACGATCCTTGAGCTTAGAAATATTGGTTTGACATTTCCGGTATGTCTAGACCAGTCGTTCTCAATCTTTTTTACCTCAAATACCACTTTCATCATTGTTAGGCCATCATTCCCTCCTTTCCCAAACTCGAACAATGCATATACGTTTATTTAAATTCAGATTTTTTAAATATGTTTTATAAATCAAACAAGAAAAAATATAGATATTTTTGATAAATACCAAAACTTGAACAAAAGCGTTCTTTATATTCATAAGCTAAAATTAAATTTTTAACAGATAAACAAAAGGCTGACCGCATTCCCTCCCCTGAAGCTATGAAATTCACCCCCTGGTTGAGAATTCCTGGTCTAGACCGAATTGCCAGAACTATTGAACTTCATAAATCCCAATGGTAAAGACAGTAACCCAGTGCAAAGAGTTCCAGACTGACAAACACGGAGCAAAGAATTTGATCATGACATATATTGCACAAAAAGTGCAGCAGTAACTGCATGAAACATCAGAATCCAAGATTATTGCGGTTATAGCTACATGTCCACTTACAAGTATACTTTGACTCTAGGTCACAGCTTTGAAAGGCAGTTATGGTCCATATATATGTGGTAGTGGATCCTAGAAATGGCGATTATTCTCTTTGGAGATAAGTTTCGTTTCTGTCGTAGAAATAGTGAGCGGCGCAAGTAAGCGTTATCGAGGATACGGGATACGCGATAGTGATTGCTTTGAGTTTAAAGATAATTTTATAATTTGCGTAATGGCTGTTTATAAGGTTTTCTTCCGACTTCTTAACGAGCCTTCGTGGTGTAGTGGTCTGCACGCTCAGAACGTAATTGAGAGGTCCACGGTTCAATTCCCAGCGAAGGTGTAGTTAATTTTTCATCTTTCCTGCTTCCAAAAAAATACCTAATGTCTGTACAAGTTTAATTCTTATATTTTGAAAAATGTATTTAATATTAATAAATAAATTAAGATAATTAAATAAACCAATAATAGAATACTCTTTACACTGCAATAGTGTATTACTAGGTAATCAATTAGTTTCCAAGCACTTATATCATCACGAGAGAGCTCTGAGTGTGATAAATAAGAATTTTAAGAGCAGACGGCCTGCGATTATTCGTTATTAGTGAACGCGTTTCTAGATAACGCGTTACCAGACAAGTAAGGCGTTAATAGTGTGTTACTTTAAAATAATCACTTCAAATCCATTTTCCTCCCAAAATCATGACTCATAACTAGGGCAATGACTGTTGCGGAAAAAAGGTTGAATCTTCTAATTTGCTAAAATTCCCTATTGCCTTCTGTGCTGTAAAAACGACGCACGTTACTGTCGTAAAGGAGGGGAGGGTAGCTATGACTTTGATATGCTTATTTTAAAATAACAGACTATACTACTCTGTGAATAGAAGCAAAAGAGAAGAAAATTTGAAAAAAAAAAAGAATTATGAGTAAAAGAATGAAAATAAGCTAAATACTGTTTGATTTCTAATAGGTGGTATTCATTCTCTACCAATATATTTATGATTATCAAGCTGGGATATGACCTTGTAGTTTGAGATATTTCTTCATTTAATTTATAATACATCCAATCTATGATTTTTTAAATTTAAAGCATTATTATAATTAATTAAAGGCATTTTTGATGCTATAGATTATGTACTTTCGAGCAGAATTTCTTGGTTTAAATTTTAGGCTTTTATATATCA